CTGCTGAACTTGCTAAACATAAGAGAAGGTATGACATTAATGAATTTATTTACCCTTTGCTATGTATTTGCTGATATTATTTCTAGGAATAAACTTGTATACAGTACTGACATCATAACTCTGCTAGTAAAAAAAACTACTAGCTCAAGTAAGCACATTCATCATCTTAAGAGCTAGAACAGATGCTTTGTTTTGTTAAACACAAAATCAGAACTGGAACAGTCAAGATACAGCACCTCTGTCTCTCTGAGACAAGCACGTAACATCTCACCCTTAACAGAACAAACTAAAACAGGCAAAGGAACAAAGCCAGAGTTAATTGGCATTCATGCGTTCATTTTACTCAGACTTGCCTGCTGGGGCTGATGTGCTAGAAGGAGCAGTGTTAGTAGTTCGCTGGTTTTGGGTATTGCGTACAGCCCACTGCATTGAACGGGGAGCTTGGGCAGCACCATTGGCATGTGAGCTATTTGTGGTTCGTTCCAGAGGTTCATCAAGCATGAAGGTCTCCTGCTCTATGTCATCGCTCTGGCTGCTGCTGCTATCAGAATCACTGGAATCATTTGACTGAGAATCATCTTCAGAAAAGAATGCTGGAACACTGCTAGCTCCTATATAAGGAATATAAGCAATAAACAGTAACTGACAACTGCACTAGTTTGCGTGCGTACATGTACTGTGACAGTGTTGTAAGCTTCTTCATGAGAACAGACTACACATACTAAAAAGATTCAGATACCATTGCTGCAAATCTTCAATGCATCGTCCTTATGACATACTGCTAATTTTCAATAACAGTTTCATGAAAAAGCAGTCAGATTACTTACAGTTCAAAAAATAAATTAAGAAATATTTTGATTTTTAAAAAGTCTTCATTTATAAGCAAGCCTGATTCTGCACTCGGGCAATGACTCAAGACTTTCACTTCCAAATCAGAACGTACAGTAGTTGCTTTCAGATCTTCAAATAATTGGTTAGGTTTTTGTATTAAACCATATCTCACTTTTACATGAAAAACGAGTGAAAATATTTCATTTCACAAGCGTGCCAGATAATCTCTCACTAACACATGCAGAAACTCCCTAAAAGCAAATAAGCAGACAGGTCGCATCTTAATACAACTCACTCATCAAAAAAGTCTGCATAGTTCTTTCCATTTACAGGTAAAGAAAAAGCAAAGGAAGAAGAGGGAATGCGGGGAAAATAGAGGTGGGAGGGGAAGGAGGGTGAAGGGAGACAAAAAGAAAGGGAAAATAAGATTAAAAGGGAAAGATATTTGTTAAGATGGCATGCTCAGGTAATTCTCCTTTTATCCAACCTAGACATAAAATAAATCATTTCTCCAATATATCTTTGGAATGTTGGATGCAGTCCCGATCCAAAGGCAAAGGACAGTATCACTTTTTTTTTAAGATAGAGCCAGTCCTGCCCTTGTTAAAGCTGTATTCAAGTCACTAAAAGATTTCTTCTTCCTGTACAACTTAATCCTAATACCTAAATTTAAACAGCTAAATTAAACACAAGATGTGGCATACCTGCTTCTGACCCAGCAGTAGCTGCAGTGACAACACTTCTGCGCCCACTAGCATTGTCCTGATTACTGTGGTTACTCTCACTGTCACTTTCTGTTTCAGCTGCAGCCAGCAGATCCAACTCCATATCACTGCCTATAAAAACAGTATCAAAAACATCTCATGTTTAAAAGAGAAAGATTAGAATGACTGTAGTGTCTCAGATAAGACACTAAATCCACAGCCTCTTACTACCACAGAAAGTAACAGATACGCAGGGAAAGGGCATAAAAGCAACGCAAGCATACAAAAACACTTGCAGCATACTTTCCCATTTTCTAGGGGTTAGCAATACCTGGCCTTCAGACTGCATCTTCCTCCTTGATAACCCTTCACAAAAGTTTCTCCTCTAAACTTGCCTAATCCTGAACTCCTTTATATCTCTGGCATTCATAGCATCCGATAGCAATGATTTTCATAGTTAAACATCATACAAAAAAATCACTTTCATTTGTTCTAAACCTGACACCTAACAAGGTCTTTAGTTGCCTCTAGTCATTCATTAGATGTAATCAATCCCTGTTCACCATCTCCACACCATTCCTATTTTTATATACATCTTTCATCTTGTTTCACACAGAAACCACTCCTTAGATTACACTTACAGGTAGATTAAAATTACAAAAAACACTAAGAACCTCCATGTCCTCTCACACTGTACTGCACATGTACATTCAACAGAAACACTGAAAATTAAGACATACTGAGAAGTAAGACTTTAAGAATTCACAATTAGCCACTCAAGCCAAACGACTCCACAACTTTCTTTGTGCACATATATTTGGACAATTAACCTTAAGCTGTTTCAAATGACTATCCAAGGAATATCTGAAAACTTAAAAAACAAAAACACCTAATTAAAAAAATACAGTTTCTACGCAGGTTTAAGTTTTGAGAATTAATGTTTCAAATAATCAGAAAATGAATTAACACTGTACTGAGAATGGGTTGACTGGAAACATGATGCACATTTAAAAAGAGTAGAAGGTAACGTTTTTTAATCTGAACTTTGGGTCACCTAATCTCAAAGAGAGTGATACCAGATAAGTCACATTAATGACAAAAAGCCTTACACGTAACGGTTTAATTCCATCAGAAAGTTCATCTACAATTTAACAACAGGTGATTGGTCTAAAAACTCGAGCACAATGGCTCAGATCCCTTTTAGGGAACGTATCTACCATAATCACTACTCTATCATTAACCATACAAGAGCTAGGCTATTTTTAAATACTTCAAATAGTTTGTGTCAATGACATTTTAAAACAACAAATGCCAAAGACAAAATGGATATTGCTAACAAAACAAATGCCAACATATTTTTTTTTATTCTTTGGTACCTTAATTGTCTCTCCTTGTGCACAAAGGCAAAAAATAAAAATGTTTATGTGTCCGCCTACTACTAATTATCCATAATTCTACTCATCTCCTAAGATGTGCAGCCCAATATCATCTTCAGGTCTCTCTGCTTATGCAGGTGTCCCAAACCATTATCACTGGTGACTTCTGAAGATCCCTACTGTTTTTGATGCACAGCTTGTTCATTCTACTGTTAATATGCATGATTTACGTTATACAACAAAACAGTTATCATCTCACTCTTTAGGCATTTTAATGTTACCCTCTTTTGTCATGTCTATTTCTAGATTATGGGATAAAATCATTAAAGGATCATTACAAAAAGCACATACCATCTTCATCATGCTCATCATGTTGTCCTTCTGCTTCAGCATTCTCTTCACCATGTTCTTCTTGTTCATCATGATGGTCCTCTTCACCAGCTACCCCCTCAACTACCTCAACCTAGAAACAGCATTATAGGTTTATGCTACTGTATCTTCCATATCTACATATTTCCAAAAACCCAATTTAAGATTTGCTTTAAAAACTAAGAAATAGGAAAAAATAATCTATCTATTGATAGAAAAACCAACTTACAGCTGCAGTAGTGGTGCACATTTGGAGAGAGCAGCTGGGGTGTAGGTTTTTAGGCAATCTTATTTTACAATTCACAGCATTATGGAAAAATTCAGGCTCGTAAATACGAGACAGCCTATGACACTAGACTTTAATGCTGAAAGGGAAAACCTGACTACAAAACTTAAAGTTAGTTTCCAAATATTGAAGAACCATCCTTCTGGCAAAAGACCCTCTTGCTCTCTAGTGGAACCTACCTAACAGCAACCATATGCTGGAAGACTGTTTAAAAGTGTTTTAACAGGGTGTAATAACGTAGGGTAAGATTACATGCAAAACAGACTAGAGATGTTACTATTCTAAACCATATTGCAATTCTGTCAAATTCAAGGCATTTAGTACATTCTGAAATGACTACATGTTAAATATCTTCTGTCCCCACCTACAGAAAGACATAGCTACTTTGATTATAAAGCTCTGTCACAACAGAACGCATACGGCACAGTTGGACTTCACAAAGTCCTATAGGGCACTAGGGAATATTTCTCAACATCTTTGGTGAACTGAAGTCCTTGACACATGACTTACTGGTTCAGAGCTGAAAACCTGTGCTAGTGTACTGTAATACACATGACACGCCATACTGAGAAAAATTAAGAAAGCTGACCTCTTCCACATCGGCTGAAACAATATCGTCTTGTTCTTCATCCCTGCCACGAACTGGCTGCGACTGGCTGATTCGTCTTTGCTGAGGATTCCTTATGATATAGGATGACTGAGCCTGACTGGAACTTTAAAAAAAAAAAAAAAAGTTTCTCTTTTGTTATAACAAGAAAAGCATGCTCAAGAAGCAAGAGTTCAAATCCATTTTCCAAAGGAAATATAAAAAACATGCTGAAATGGCTGGACTGGAAGAATTAAAATATTTTCCCAGGTTTAACAAAAAACTAGGATCAACATCTTTTTCTTAGACAGTTGAGTGGGAAGGGAGAATAGCTCAACGACAGTAAAGCTAAGCTGAAATATCACATAGCACAACTAGATGACCTAAAACCAGAAGTCTTCTCAAAGCCTGTAGAGAAACTCCATGCTTCTTGTGTAAATATCTTCAGACAGCAGACCATTCACATTACTGCTGGAAAAAAAAAAATTTAACTTTTTTTTTTGGCTGTTTCTCAGAAGTATACAGTGAAAGGCAAGAGGAAACGGACACAAATTAGAAGAAGAAATTCCTACTAGAGATAAGAAAAAGATTCTTCAAAATGAGGCTAGTCAAATATCAGAAAAAGTTGCCTCAAAACATCGTGGAATTTCCACACTTGGAGAGATTCGGAACCCAAATGAACAAGGCCTTGAACAACCTGATGCAACTGGTGGGGGAGTGGGGTGGGGTTGGAGCTGATGACCTCTGAAGGTCTGAATCAATTTCAATTCTTCTGTAATTCTGTCAGTAGGAAAGCTTTTCCAGAATGGTTGGCCTATAAGTAAAAAGCTAACAGAAAAACAAAACAAAAATAAAACTCTGACAAACCTCAGGAGAACAGAGCATACAGTGAGCTTTACCTGTTAGATTGGTCAGATGAAGGCCTAGGTGGTAGAGGCTCCACAGAAAATAGTTCTTCACTTCCCTGCATGGCATCTATACTAGTGCTAGCAAGAGTAAAGGGTGCTGTAGGACGTGCAATTCCCATCCTTACTGGAATAATTAGAGATTCTGCTACATTGCACAACTCTTCGACAGCGTAGGGCAATAATGCCTGGAACACACGTTTACATTTTCCAATTGGCTGTGGAATAAAATTGCTGGGAGGAGGGTGGAAGGTGGGAAGGAAAAAGAAAGGTCAAATGTATCTTCTCCAAAAAAAATTTCAGTTATATCAAAGTTTCTCCAAAAAGATATCCATCTTTAATACACACATATAATAAATAATAATATATATACATGTGTGCACACACACGGGTTTGTGTGTGGGTGTGTAGTAACAATCTGCACAGCTATTAATAAGTCAGTTAAAAATACGCATCATTCAATAACTTAAAACTAAAGCTGGCTATATAATCTATCACTGACAATCAACTATAGGTAATAGTTTTGATAAATACATAAAAAATCCTAATTCTGTTTAAAAATTTCAAGATTTGAGAGAAAAGGTCAGTATACCGGTTTAAAAGAATGTAAGCTTAATAAACAATCTATTTAAAAGGCTGCATGTGATACTAGGAGCTACTGGCCAATCTTGATCTATACGCTTTTCACATAACACTATAGGCTGCTAAATAATTCAAATGATTCTGCCTATTACTGATGAGTGTCAACTCATTTACAGAAAGAATTTTAAAAAAATGAAACACTTACTTTTTCTTTTTTGAGGAAGCCATTTCCACACTAAGAATGACAAACACTCTTGCCACAGAACGCAGGAATCTCATTGTAACAGCAATAGCTTCTTCTCTACGTCCTGGCGTATATTTGTTTTGTAACTCCTTTACCAGAGTACCCAGCAAAGTATCTAAAAGCTATTGAAAAAGGTGATTACAACACAATAAAGGTGTGTAATTTAGAAGCTTGAAACAAATGAGATCAAGATTCAAAGGCAGACCATAGTCATAACAGTATAATTTAAAAAAAAAAAAAAACAAACCCTAACAAAACTGATTTCAAGTTAGTCATTTGAATATATCACCCAAGATACACATTAAAGTCACATTATTCAGAAATGTATTTAAAACATGGCTAAGAGTGCTTACCAAAATATCTGCTGTACACTTGACAATAAGGCAGTGCGTAAAACAGTCCAAGCGAATAGTTCCACTTTGTTGATTAAGGTAAACTTGTTCTTCAGGCAAAAGATGACCTATCCTACTGCTTGCACTAAGACTTGGAAAAAATAAAAAGAAAGGAATAAACTTTATGTAAGTGAGTAGGTCTCAAATGTCAGATCAAACTTTACATTGACAAGTATTTGTAAATACACACGGGTCTTTATTTTCCTGGGAGCCAAACATGATCATAGACTTCAGAGCATTCCAGTCTTGCAAAACACGTTCCAAAGCAAGCTGGGCAAATCGAGGAGGTTCTAAATCATGATCAGGCATATCAGAATCTAAAGAAACAAAAAAGCAATATGAGAAAGAGATACAGAAATAGAGAATTTGCCCATTTGTTCCAGTGAAACAGCTCCTACCTTCAGGATTTGCAGCTTTACGATTACGATCTTCCCTAATTCTAGGTGGTCTGTACTGGCAGTGTTCCACTGTTTGCCTGGCAACTGTCTGTACTAAAAACAGCAGAAGATGTTCTCCCCTGTAATGCAAAAATAGATTGGTGGAGATATAATATACTATGTGTTTTAAAATCATAAACACAGGTTGTCCTATTCATTGAAAAGATAACTTACCTGCTGTTTGGCATAGTAACAAGATTTGTTGTGGTAAGCAGTCGATAGAGCAGATCAAGGCGAGCAGACTTTTGCCCTGCGATCAACGTTTTACATTTGCACTTTTCCCAGCAGTCACAGTAGGCTGTAGGGGATGTTCGTTTGAGCCTACAACGCATAGAAAAAGTAAGGGACAACACTGTTCAGGTACAAACCAAATACCTTCTAAACAGACTGAGGGTGCTTATGTACGCATTAAGATTGCTGCTAGAGTTTTTAAAGGCACCAAAAACTAGCTTAGGAGAGAAATGCAGACATTTTAAGCGGCTACACTTGGCGTTTGCTATTCTCTATTCCTACAACTGATTTTAGGAAGGTAGTTTCATTGCAGAGCTTTTCACAGAGTCTTAATAAATCTCATCCAAGCCTGCTGACCCCTCCCCAAAATAGCCTCCAGACAAGAAAGCTGAACTGAAAATTCTTTCCACATGCAATAAAATCTCATTAATTCCTACAATGACAAGAACATCTTTATAATTGTATTTCTTAGCTTATTACAGCTAGGATACTAATCCAGTAACAGCTACACCCTGTAAGAGGGGGTACAAAAATCTGTAGCTTCCAAGATGTGGCCAGGCTGGGCAGAGACATCTCGAGTGTACATGTGACTGTTTAGCTCAGTTCTCCCTTTATTACAGTTGATCTTGGAGATGACAGGCTGTTACCGTCAAGTTTCAGAAGGAAGTGTAGCATATTCATCAGGGCTCATTGGCATCAGAAACTTTTAGAGGCATCCAAAATGAAATCATGGTACTATTTAGCTACATTATTTTCAAAACAGTGTTTATTCATTAAATACTTTGAGGGTGTTAGACTACCTTATTCCTTTACTCTAACCCTCCAAAGCGAAAAGTACAAGTCTGGTTCATATTATTCTTGCTTTCAATCTTGACCCATAAATCTTACAGAGCAGAAGGAAAGGAAATTAAGATATCTGAAATATTTTATTAATCTTTTGTTCTCTAATACCTGAAGAATTTAACAAAGAAAATTATTATCCATCAGTAAACAAATGACAACCCAAATGATTAATTTTAATTTAAGAAACAGAACACAATACTTACTTGCAGTCATGTCCTTTGTGGCAGACCCTTGCACATTCCGTGCAACAACAAAGAGATTCCAGTAGGCCACATGTTCGGCATTCAAATATATCCTAAAACAAAAAAAGCAGTTTTACCAAAAGCGTAATGCATAGTTTTCTCCCTTCAACACTTGCTACCTTGCAACATCTGAGCTTACAATAAAACTGCACTTGTGCAGATTGATGGCTTCACTTAGAAATAAGTCAATTTTAGAAGGTGAAATTTTGTTATTAGCTAAGTCTTTGAAAACACAGAATCCATCAACATTTTTGCCCAACCTAGCAAGAAGGAAAAACCCCCACCTATTAGCAACAATATTTTGATACCACAGCCAGCTTGAAGAGTAAGAAGCAATTAAGGAAAGCAATAACTATCCCAGACTATTAAAAGTTATAATCATTAAAATATTACAACTTTAATCATTTAAAAACTAGATTAGTAGACTAATAGAATCTGTACAGAAAAAAAAAAAGCAAAAACACTTACTTGATTAATATGTTCTGCACCAGTCCAAGTAAAACTGCATGTATCATTACAACACAAAACATACAAAGGAGAGTCATCTGGATTTGTACCAGAAGGACAAACCATTCCCATAAACACATCATCTTCTTTTTCACTTGAAGTTGCCTCAGCTAAAAGAGGAACAGACCACCAGTGTTAAAGATTAAAAAAAAAAAAAAAAAAAAAAAAAAAAGAGAGGGCGGGGGGGGGGGGAAGACCCCACAAACAGAGCCCATCCTTGACGGAAGTTTGCCAATATAAAACCCCATACAGAAGTTTGAATAAAGCCTCCCTAACAGTTTTTTAATGAAAAATTTCTGCATGCCACATTGCAGGTATTTCTTATGGAAGAAGCTGCAAATTCCTGACTGAGAATTACAACCAGCAACTCTTCTTTAGTTTTAAAATTAAGGTTGTCCTAATCAATTCACTGCATCACCATTTTGAAGGATTAAAAATAACTTACAAGCAATATTCTTATAAGAAATACACACAGTCCTACAGATCTTGACATACCACCATTCTAATTGCTCAAGCTTCCCCTCAAGTTCAACCTCACATATTTCTCTTATGCAATAAAATCTCAATATAAAAAGAGAGTCACAAAATAGGTGTTTGCATAAGAGTCTTCACAGCAACAAGATCTAACTCTGCATACTGTTTTAAATCAGGTGCTATTTTTGAATTCAAAGAAAGAACTTTCAAGTTAATCCGCTGATTTTTGTAAAGTAATGGAACGCTGAAAGGATTAAATAGTACACAAAAGTGATAATATTCATAGAACTCCATTGCAATATAGATACACTACACACTAGAAAGATATTGGTTAACAGTAAGATTTCCAGAACACGCAGTGGTAAACGCTTCTTCCAGAACAGGGTCTACTACCATCAGCTCAAACACACGTTTAATTTCACACAAAAAAGTACTGTTAATAAGAATTTGCACACATCCTGACGTCAAACTTTAGAATGAAACAATATACTAATTAATACTGAAAGTAATTTACCTTTAGCAATTTTCTGCGCAGTTTCTAGAATTGTAATTGCAGCAGGATATGCCCTGCCACTAACTGCTGACATAAATGGCGTCATGCCTCTCGCATCCCTAGGAGGGGGTGGGGGGGAAAGTCAAAACATATCGGTTTTTTGTTACAACAGGAAAAATAAGAAACAAATACATCAGAACATTGTAACACTGTCAATCTTGCACAAACAGAAAAAACACTAAGTGAATAAGCACTCGAAATTTCTTATTCATTTCATTTCTGCGAAATATAAACATAGTCCACATTCTAAAATTTTCCATTTTAAATAATGTGCCTTTAAACAACTTTTTAAAAAGGCTTTTACACAACAAATTTCAGGTGATATACCACTAAAAAGGATAGTGAGAATACATTTCAAAACCCTTACTTGGCTGACAGCAATTCTCGAAGATAGGGTTGTAAAACAACACTATCACATAGTAATTTCAGTATGAAATGAGCATTTGCCTTCCGATCCTTTGATTCCACTACAGACGGTTCAGTAGAAGGACCTGTAATGAGAAAAAATATATAAACAGTTTTCTCCAAAAATGAGTAGCTATTAAAAGCAAATAACTTGATATTTCACTGAAGGGAGTGATTAATCAGTAGCTCGACTTTTCATGGGTTTTCTAGTTTCAGCACCATTTCACTGAAATATTGTAAGTTTCAGGTCCAAATTTCTGAAATACAGGCAGTAAGCCCAATGGCATAACGATCACTCTATTTTCACATACATGTCATCTCCAGATAAAAATAGTTTTTATGTAAAACACAGCATAGGGCTTTATGTACTTTCTGTACACTTGTAAAATTCTCTTTCAATCCAATCTCTTCATTTGGAAAGACATGCTTGTATATGCAAAAAGTCCACACAAGCAAAGATAGCTTTTGAGATCATTTTACATCATGGTTATGTAAGTAGTGTGTTCTCACCTGGAATAGTGGAGGTGCTAGGTCCTTGGCCGGTGCCAGTCGCTGCTGTGGTAAGAGATCCCACAGCGGGGGCCAGGATAAAATCAATGTCACCATCTTTCAGTAAACAGAACAGCAGGATGTACATCAATATATAAAAACACCCCTAGCAACATGCTCTTTCTGCAGTGTCTAACACCCTGCACGTTTTCTGCATTTAATTGGTGCCCTTTCCTACAAGCCGCTACATTCCTAGACTAGCATCAGCGTAACCAGCATTACAAAATATACTCTGCAGAAAATTGGCAACAGCATTAGAAAGATGCATCCTGGATTTAAAAGTGCTTTTAAGTCTTGAGTCAGCTCTTAAAACAAGTCTCACTAGCTCAATGACATTAAATATTTTCATGTCATGCTGAAGGCAATTCACCTTAAAAGTCATTGGTACCATTGTTAAATATCTGATTTTACAGTTTAGTTTGATACACTAGCAGACTTACCTGGATCCATAGCAGGAGGATCTGGAACCCAGCTGGGAGGAGCTATTGGAGGAGAAACTGGATCCTGGTGATCACTTGATGAAGCACCAGCTTCATGTCTGCCCAATCCAGCAGCTCTCAAGGATCTTCTCATCATTTCTCTTAATCTCAAACTGAATACAAAAATGAGGCAAAAATACATTTTCATTCATTAAATAGTTAGAGAACATTAAAGTAAAATTTCGCACTCAAAAAGGAAACCAAATTTCTTTCCAGTTTACTTCAGCATAGAGAAGAATGAACAAAGAGGTATTTTTCATTCCTTTATTCAATTTTGTCACAATGCATTGTCCTTTGAAGGACAGTCAGCTAACACTGAATCAAGACACAGCTGACCCCAGAACACATCTACCACTCCTCCTCAGCCTTTCCCTGGTCACTCCAGCACAGCCTTTTGCACAGAGCAGCAGCTGATGGGCATTACCAACACTATATACCTCAAACTTGTTGCCAGGGGAGATAAGCCTGTGAAGGGATTTGTTGTCATTGTAAATCTAACTTCAGAAAGAGAGGTTTATGAAGGAATAAAAAAGGGACTTGAAAAATCTATCATTTGAAAGAAGTAATTTGTCTAAAAGTATGCAATGTGAAAGAACTACTTTAGTGAGGATAAAACAATTTTAAGAAATTCTGTATCACCATACCAGAGGGAAAGGTGGTAGGAATAATGCAGAAGCAGAAGAGCTCAGTGTGATACCAGGAAAGAGGTATAAACTCAAAAGTGTGTTTTGTTTTTTTTCTTTGTTTCAATGCACTTTCTCTTAAGTAAGAGTCATGCCTCCTAGAGGACGTGGTGGGGAAGCATCAACCCTCTCGTCAACCTCCTCCACCTCATAGGAATGAAGACTGTAGCTTAGAAAAGACAAAGACGTTTCACAGGAATTGCTTCAACTACAGACCTAAGTACAAAAATTATACAGCATTCTCATCCAGAGAGCACTGAACTGACAATAACTCAGTACGGATTCCTTTAAGTTCTGTTGACATGAAAACCACTCAGTTACTGTCAACATTAGACCTTACAAACCACATTTCCTCCCCTCTAAGGAGAAGTATTTCCACTTTACAGCTGAGGAGGGGAACCTCACCAACCCTAGAAAACCAAAGCAATTTAGAAACATACCAGTGTTGGTGGTCATGCCAGAAGAGGCAAAAAAAAATCACTATAGCCCCTGTTTGGTGCTTGAAGAAGTGAAATCTGATTTTAAACTAGCGATAGAACCCTTTCTTAAACTTGCCTGAAGGAAAGAATTGAGAGCTTTGTAATTAATACTGAAATTAGCAGAGAGAAAACAAGAAAAAGTTAGTCAGTATACCTTCTGCTGCTTGATGATCCTGACCGATTTCCTGGGCCATTGCTTGACACAACTGAGATTGCATTTGCAATAGCTTCAACAGCTGACAGTCTTTCAGCAAATGTATTCCTTTCAGAGCGCTCTGCTTCTGAAAAAATAAGAAAAACTTTGGTGCCAAGATTTCATTTGGAAATAATTTGCAGAGATATTTCACCTATCTTTGGTTCCAGTGTTAACTAAAGAGAATAGCTAAAATTCAGTTCAGATCAAGTTTTGAAATCCATCAACAGTAAATGCCCTGGCTCTAAGGATAATTAGCTGTTTTACTGCCTTATGAAATCTGCCCTAAATCTCTAGAAAAACTCAGTATACAGACGTTCAGTAAAGATACTGAAATTTAAGATCAGAATTCTAACATTTTAGCTGTCTTTGGATGTGTCTTTTGGATGTGTCTTTTCAAAGATCCTTTCTACTGGCTAGACTGAGCAAGTATCAAACCACAGAACAACAGAGCAACCTTTCACTAGCTTTGCATGTCTGGGCCCACTTTTTCTTCAGTTCCTTTATCCATCTCCATGGGAGCTATGATGAAACTAGTAACAGGATCTCCAAACAAAAAGATTGATCCATATCCTCAATATTCCTGCTCTGGCATTTAAAGAGGAAGCCACATGAAGAGTGAAGGATCTCAGGCAGGCATTAGGTGGGAAGGTGCCGTAGGGTTTATAATTGTTAAGGAGCATCATATCTGGAGTCTTGAACAGAACTCATTATTCCTAAATCAATGATCTTTGCAGTTTAACTTACAGATAATAATATTAGTCACCACTGCCCTCCAGATGATGCATAGAAAATAAGCTTGTCCCTCCTATCAATTCCTAGCAGTTCCATTGGAAGGTGAATGTGCTTTGAATCTAAGGATATGAATCCCCTTCTAAAAACAGCTTTTGTGAGGGGAAAGAGAGAGGCAGAGGGGTGTGAAAGTCTATGAAGTTCACATTTTTCAAATGTTTATATTTTTTTCAAAGGGTAAAATACATTCAAATGAAATTACTCAAAGAATGTCAAGGTTGCAGAGACAAGCACTCAAATTAGAAAAAGTCAGATTAAGTTTGCCCATGCATCCTTATTTCGGCTTCCTCATGTGCTTATAGTAAAACACAATATTCGGTTGCATGGTTGGTTGGATTTTGTTTGCTGGTTTTGAGGGGTTTTTTTGGTTTGTTTTGCCTTTCCCCACCCCCCCCCCCCACCCCCCACACACCCACAAACCCCCCCCCCCCCCGCCCCCCACAAGACCCCTGCCTCAATCAGTGCACAGGATGGACGACACACTAAAGATGAAGGGTTGTATGGTGAGGAAGCTGCTTGTGCCTTATTCGCTGCAAAAGTTGTAAAGCTGTGTAGCAATGCCACAAGAGCCTAGAGGGAGAGGGGGAAACATTGTCTTGTGTTTAACGCCACTAAACATCACTTGGGAGAACTGGATCTTATTTCTGCCACATCTAACAGCACACAGAACTTTATGAAACAAGCTTTTACAGATGATCATGATACATTTTACTCATTTTTGGACACTAAACAAGTGCCTGACTCACAGACATGGTTGACATTCACAGAACAACTAAAGTTATGATTAACTCAGCTCTGGAATAAAGTGTTTTGAAACATCTACTCAAAGAATGAGATCAGACCCTAGGCTTCTCAAACAGAACTCTCAAAATTAGCTAATACTTCCGAATACATAAGAACTTCAAGCTCCAATACCCTCAAGAGATGAGCAAGTTGTAGCATTATCCCCATTTTATAAATAGGGATATGAGGAACAATTAAGGTCTACAAATGACTAAAAATTCAATGACAGCACCATACAAAATCCCACAAGGAAGTTTATTCATTATTCATTGCAGGGTTTGTATGGTGCGTAGTAAGTAAGGAATGGGGCCACACACTGAATGATGAGGATAAAAAGAAATATTGAATAGCTACCCATTCGGTGAGCACCGTCCATCTTGTGCACTGAATGAGGTAGTCCTGTGAAAAAAATAGTATGACGGTGTAATTAAAGACCATATCACAATGCATACCCACGTATAGCACATGGGTAAACTTAACTCTGGCATTTCCTAATTTTTGAGTGCTTGACTTAGCAACCTTGTTGTTCTGTTAATATACTTTTCACATAGTAGCATTTAGACATTTTAAATGGTGTCAATGCCTGGCTTAACAAATTATTTGTTCACATTTCTTAATATATATATGGCAAGCAAACATTTTTTTAATTGAGGCATTAACTATAACCCTTGAAAAATATTAAATATTTTGTTAAAAAATTACTATTGATATAAAGAGGAAAATATTTGTTTTCATCTAGAATCAGTATGTGGATGTGGAAAGTTTGTCTCTTACAATGAATAAAGATAGCCTAGTATTGGTAAGTACTGAATTTCTATAAATCCTCATGACAGTTTTAAAAAAAAAAAAAAAATTTTTTTTGCCCCAGCACCTCGGAAAGGTTAGGACACATTTCAGGTGCTAAATTTTAAGATACCCATAGCTGAGGAATGCAGTCTGTATTTAAAATATTCTTGAAAATGCATTAAAAGTTTATTTTCAAATTGTTTTCAAGACATTGTTGAGCTCACCCTCTTCCTCTTTTGTTTCTTTGTTGCTGGTTGGAAAGCATACAGATACACAAGCATGCAGAATATTGCGGTTTCCATCACATCTGTGGCCGAGGAATGTCTGCAGCACTTGTGGATTCTGATCCAAGACAACTGCTTGTTCAAGATTCATCAGGTATTGTCTGCAAGCCTCATAGTCACATCGGAGAATATGCTGCATTAAAGTTTGTTTCTGTGCTCAAAAGAATAAAATAATGTAACAAATGAAAATACAGACTGCAGATATACAAGTTTAAGTACTTCTAAACTTGGTCTAAATCTAGGACATCCTGTGGCAGTCAGTGCAGGACCCGTTTAGAGTAAGCATCATCTCAACTATTCCACTGTTAAAAAACAGAAAATAGCATTCAGACACGAACAGATTGAGGAAAGGACGTACTTAAACAACGGAAGCTAGCAGGCTCACAAAAGTATGCCTTTGACTTCATAGTTTGGTTCTTAAAACAGATTATTTCAAATTTCATGGCTACAAATCAAATGGTAAGAATGGCACAATTGGAAGACTAAGGTGTCCACATTAACTAGGTTTACATATTTATTTTAAATGATATACATGCTGGAAAGTGAAGGAATAAAAGCTCCCAAACCCTCCTCAGGCCTGGGAGGCTCCCCCCATATAACAAGCTTTTCCACAGGTGTTGAATACTCCACTGTGAAATCAATCTCAGCCTAATAGGTACACAATACCTCCTGGTGGCAGCATAGCACAGAGCAGATGCAACTAAGCTGCACCAAATCACTGACTGATTTATACAAGCACTATACATAAAGTCACAGCAGACCTGTTCATACAGCATCACAGATCACTACAGGGCTTTACAACTAATTCAAGTGAAAACTCTTTGTTTCTCTCTTATCATTTTCTCATTTATGGTCCTAATATAAGGTTTGAAAAAAGAAAAAGAGAGAGAGAGAGATACTGCATTCACAGCAAGATAAACTAAGGTGTTATACCCGTCAGAAAAGCTGTACGCTCCCAAAATTTAAATAAAATTATTTTTAGGCATTACTTCTAAAACTATCTCTTTCATGTGCATACTGCCAGTATATAATATTAGTTAAAAGCCTGACCAGGTTTTATACTGAAGCTATGCGCCACCAAAACATATCTTTCACTTATTACATACCTCTGTTTGTACTTTCATGTTTATAGGAGATTCTTCAGCTGGTATTAATTTCTTTAAAGTAGTATTAATACATATTCTAAACACTAAACTGTTTTAAGCATCATTTTATAAAAGCAAGCAGTAAAAAGAGCACATTATGACATATTAAAGAAAGTATTTTACCTCAACAGCCATAATGATAATAGCAGCTTTCTTTTTGATGGTGGAGTTAGCAGGAAGATTTGTTAAGGAATGAACACCCATTCCAAGACTACTAATAGGTGGAAGATCAAGCCAGTCAGGGTCTCTTATCCCACCCATGCAGTCTTTTGCCATCGGATAGATAGTACCATTTCCATCTCTAAGAATAATAGGAGATTCCTACATTTGGGAAAAAAGGTTTTTAACATTGTATCTCCACAATTTATAAATATTACCCTTCCCAAAAGGTCCACTTGACTGCCTACAAGAAGTCCAGTCTACCCAAGATTCTCGTTTACACCTTGTCTCCTATCCTTACAAGTGGCATATAAGCATAAGACAGTGGAATCCTTTCCTCAAATGCCTGGAACAGGTTTAATATAGTAAATACTATTAAAAGTGTCTTTAATGAAATATTAATAATGAAACATAAGGTACTGAAACTTAGCTTACTGAAGCACACCAACAGAAACTTGAACATATAAAATTAAATGTACAAGCTGAATTCCTTTGCCAAAAATGTTTCCGTCAACTATTAAAAGCGAAGAATATTGTTTGTATGGAAGTTAACAAAATGAATTTGGTATTTATTCTAAGCCCTCCTCATGTATGTCTGTACTGTGCAATCAGTTGTATAATCAGCTAAAATAGGATGCTTAAGAAAGAGTAGCACAAAATGGTAGATGGTAGAAAGAGTTGCACAAAAACTCAGTATTATTTTTAATATCAAACGCAAATTTTTTTTGTTAACATTTCCTTTTTTTTTCCCCCTCAAGTGAGTCAGATGAAAATCCACTCTCTTCCAAAGTTAGATAGCAAGTTTACAATAAAAAAAAAATGAATAAAAGTTTTAACACAAACTACTCTATCAAGGACCAAGAAAGACTATGAATAAGATTATAAAAAGTGCTACCCCCCAATGTGCCCTAGCAGCAAAGGCGGCCGGTGGTATCCTAGGTTGCACTAGGAAAAGTGTTGCCAGCAGGTCAAGGAAGATGATTCTTCCCCTCTGCTCAGCCCTTGTGAGGCCACATCTGGAGTACTGTGTCCAGAAATGGGCTCCCCAGTACAAGAGGGATATGGAGCTACTGGAGCAAGTCCAGAGAAAGGCTACCAAAATGATCAAGGGACCGGAACATGTGTCATATGAAGAAAAGCGGGCATCCTTCAGCCTGGAGGCGGAAGCTCATGGGGGGGGGGGGGATTTTTATCAAAGTATATTATTTCGATCCATCTTCTTTACAGCCTCCCTCCCATATCAGACTCTCTCCTCATGGTGCCCCATGACAGGACAAAAAGCAATGGGCACAAACCGAAACACAAGAAATTCCATCTGAACGTAAGGAAAAACTCTTTTACTGTGAGGGTAACTGAGCATTGGAACAGGTTGCCCAGAGAGGTAGTGGAGTCTCCATTTTGGAGATACTGAAAACCCAACTGGACTCAGTCCTGGGAAACCTGCTACAGCTGACCCTGCTTGAGGACGGGGGTTGGACTAGGTGATCTCCAAAGGTCCGTTCCAACGTCAGCCATTCTGTGATTCTGTGACTACCCACCCCTCTTCTAAAATATTAATGGTAGCAGCAAATCTTTCACAACTCATTTAGATCCTATTTTTTGCCAGCTTTGGGAAAGCCTCACAAAAGCTGTACCATGCCATTTGAAGATGAAGGAAGTGAAACAAATGGAGGTTAAATGACTGACATGCGGAACAAACCTGTCCAGCTGTAAAAATGGCAACACTTCTCTCATTCTGACCCAGGAACGCAATGCTGCTAGTAGGGAAATTATTTTCCTGTTCAGCCTTTCCTGTAGCAAGGTCAAATATACAGTATCGAACCCAGTTCCCAGTTTTCAGGACAGCATGCACTCCTTTAAAAATACATGAAGAGAAAGGTTAATCTCTTTGCTGATGGCATTCCATAAAAGAACTTAACTACTGAAGCTTAAACGATTTATTAATCTCAATGAAAACAATTTTTTTTTTTTTTTCAGTTTGACAGCTGTAGTTTTCCATTAGGGAGGGAGGCAGGTAATAAATAACACAATGAAGTATCTTAAGGTAAAGTTCTACTTACCTTTTGAATCTACATTTACTGCTAGAATCTCTGTTTTTTCAGGAATACACAGTTTTTTAGGTGTCCTTTGAAAACAGTCAGGAACTTTTGGAGTTCCACCAGTTTTTACTACCTAAAAACATATGTAAAATTTTAATAGGCAGTTTGCACATGGTGCTCACATTCCAAAACACTGCTCATTTTCTCAGTGTTTCACAAAGCCATACCTGCAGTTCATCTATTCTGAGCAGCCTACAATCTTGGAGAAGAGAGGAAGGATCAGGATCTGAATTAGAACTGCTCTGACAGTTTGCATTACTGGAGGTGCCCGGAAATTTCACAGCAACATAAGCACCATCCACTTTTAGCACCTACAAGCAGAACACAGTACAGTTTTAGTAAAAGCTTCAAAAAGAGACTGAAAATAGCTTAGGCTGATTTGCTTCAAAATAAGCCAGACCTTTGTCAGGAAAAAATAAAATTTACAAAAGACAGTGATAAGATTCTACAGCTCTTGATTACCAGCCTTACTACTTTTGCTAATATCACTGAATACTTAGAAACGTGGATTTCTTAACGACTTCATGAGCATCCCGAATCTGATTCAGAGGTCCCTCCAATTCAACACCCTACCTCCAACAAGAATCTACCCCAACTGCTAGATACTGATACTTCCCTGGTATATCTTTCCAACTTTCATCCACTGGAAACTGCAGGACAACTTTATATTTAATAGCCTGGATAGACTCTGCTTTTATTAATTTGTCTAATCACTTTTTGAAGTGAACACTACTCTTGTGGCAATGAATTCCAAATATTAGCTAACCATCCTACTAAAAAAAAAAAAAAAAAATCTACACTGAGCCTCTTACTTTATTAGGTGTCTATTAGTTCTTGTACTATGAGAAACAGGAAATCATTCTTTATTCATCTTTTCCATTTAAGAATTTTTAAGCCTCTACTGCAGTCTTAATGTTCATTCCTCAAGACAAGAACGCACGGAGTATTGTTTTATGGGTCCATTACCTTCAATTAGGTTCATTACCATTACATTCAATGAAGTTTTCTCAGTCCCTTAGGATCAAAGGATACAGACACGTATCCAGAAACACTTAATGTGTGTCCTTCCCCCCTCAAAATGGGAACAAAGTTTTTCAATCCTGCATACACAGTCACTTCTGAGATTCTAAGCATCTCTAAAGAGTTGCTGTCATACATATCTAATCGGAACTGTCAAAATAGCTTTCCTTGATATAGATACCTCTTACAATGCAACCAAATAGCAAGGCCCTTTGAAGTACCAGTTAACACCATAACTCCCTCAAAAGGTACACAAAGCTATCGGGGGGAGGGAGGAGATGTTTTAATTTTGAGAAGGAATAAGATCTCATTACGCTTTCAGTCTTGGTCAAAACTAGGTAAAAGCAACCATGAACTTGGTTAGAAATTATTCAGAAATGAGGGCCTAAACAAAAAGAAATAAGTAATATTAAAGATCTAGGTGTAACAAAAACTTTCTATTTCAAAGGTCTCCCATCAAAAGCAACTCTTTACTCTTCAAGATATTACAGGTAACAAACATTCAGACATTTCCATGTTTTCTCCCAACTTCTCCAGGTAGCAGCAGCCTATTAAGTCCTCTAGAGAAAGGATGTACTGATAGATGCAAAAGGTTATTAGTCAATTTTTGTAAGGGATTGTGGATGGAGTCAGACCACTTGTTCCCCCTACACTGAAACTTTACTCTAGTAGCAGAGTTCCTAGTGGCACGTTATCACCAACAGCTGTACAAATACTACTTAAACATTTCAAAATTCAGACCTAGCCAAAAGATTAACGAGCATTAACTCTGATCTAGAATATACAAAGACAGATCTGTATTGAGGTTTACAAGACAACATTCTAGGGAAAAATCATGACTTGGTCAAAATAACTCAAATCAAGGTACATTCAGATTTTTTTTTCTAGCATGCGATTACATGCTGATGGTTCAACCATAATTCCTGCTTTGACATGCAGAATTTTTTTTTTTTTTTAGTGACTAAAGGCTGCTGGAAAAGCCTTTTAAATTTGGGTCTCTTCTGAAAAGAGATGATTCTACATGGTCATTGTCTAACAGGACCTACGAAATCTCCTTTGTAAAGCTTCAAATTGATAATCAAGTTGGTATGGGGGGAGGAGGAAGGGGAAAAAAACCAACTTATCCTACCTCTATAATTAAAAGTTTTTTCTACATGCTTTCTGGCTGCTGTTAGTGTTATCACCTAAATCACTTATCAGTTTCTTTGAACATGTGAGAACTTAAGGGCTGGAACCCTATCACGATTCTTTTAATTTGCACATGCTAGAATTGGTTTCATTTGTGGTTAAAAAAAAAAAAAAAAAAAAAGAGAAAAAAGAAAAACCCAACCACTGAAGAGTTGATCTTGGAAAACTGGAAAATGTTTATTAGGATTTGTTTGAGAAGAAATTCATATCTTCAAATGACTATTACAATGAAGTTCTTTAGTTAAACTGTTACTATTGCAGTTACTGGTTGTTAGGCAAAAAGAAATACAAATAAACTGTCCACTGATGTAGCAAACAACTAGGAGCTTAAGTGGAAATTTGATAGCAACTGCAGAGAACAGACTCAAAGATGTATTGTAACAGGCTGGCATTAAACAAGATAAATGAGCAGCATTAACATTCCTCTGAACTGAAATGAGCCAAAACTCTGAACTCACTGAAAAACACATTAACAAGAAAAAAAAAAATACAACACAGAGCTTAAAGGATTTAGACACATCAGCTTATAGAACCAATGTGCTTTCACTGTTCATATTGCTAATGCAACTTTTCACCATTTGTGGACTTTCTAAAAATTTCATCAGTTAGAAACAAACATTTAACAGAACTAGATATACAAACATATGCCTTATAAGGACCAAATTAGAAGAACTGAATCAAACAAATGAAAAAAAAAAGTAACACCAAAAGGAAAGTTTCAGTTAGCTTTTCCAAAAGAAAAATCTCTCTTCTTACAGCATTTTCAATTACAATATAACTGGATCTGATCTTTTATTTTAACGGAAGAAAAAACATAATTGATAAACTGAAATAACTGAGAGATCAGAGTATTCATTATTTCTTCTACCTTTACTGTCTGTCCACTGTTATACTCCTCTAAAGCATTACGCAAAAGTCAAATTGGAAAGAGAAAAAAACCCCCTCAAACAACAAAAGACACCCACACGCTCACACACGCACTGATTGGCAGAAAGCTTTCAACAAAAGTTCTTTCCTCAAAATCAAACGCAGACAGGTCCTGAGCCCTGCTTCTTCTCCTCCACCATCTCCTCTTGGGGTTCTTTGCCTAAAATTACCTTAACGATAGGCCGAGTATCTTCTAAAAACAAGGAAGTTGACTACCAGCACTTGAGCCTTTTGAAATTAAACTTGTTTGGATCTACTGACAATTTATAGAATTTTTCCCTCTCCAGAATCACCATATTCCTTCTCAAGACATGGCAGCAGAAGACAAAGGAAAATATATGTTCACTTTCTTATCTAGTCTTCTGCTTGCTGGAATGGAAATAACTGTAATGCCAGAAAACATTTCCACCTCCACTCTCAAAGTAGAATGAGCATTTCCAAAGAAATGCTGACAATTTTAAAAAATATTCAGCTTCAGAGGATACAAAACAAGAGTCCTATGAGAGATTAGATAGCTTTTCTAGCACTGTTTCTGCCTTGGGCTCTTTCAAGTCATCCTTCTGATTGGAACGCTTCAAGCTCGGACAGAAATCAAACCAAAACCAAAAAGTTCAAGTGACTGACTGAAACAATATATTCTAAAGTACAAGTTAAGGAACATAAACCATTCAATCCAACTCATGTTACGCAAAATCCATAGGACTGGGTAAGATTTCTGGGCACAGGAACTTCAAAATTGATAATATATGGAAGTCTCACCTGATCCAGGACAACTTTGATGAACAGAGGCAGTTTGGGGAGGCCTTGGACACTGCCAATGGAAAGCCTCAGACCAAAACGAACCGCAGCTGCCAAAGAACAAGAAAAAAGCAGCTCCAACCCAGGTCCCCTACCCTTTTTTCTAACAGTGGTTCCAGACAGCATTTTTAAGTCATTCCAGAACAAGAAATCCAGAAGCTAATGTCAGTAAGTAGATATCCCAAAATGCATGGGACAGACACAACCACCTTCTGTTCCTTTGGTTTCAGTGAACAGTAATGAAGGCTTATTTCAGCCCATGCCTTTCCTAAGCTACACTGGAAGATGATGATTTCAGATTTCTCAGACCAGCAGGCCTGTTTGTACCAATGCAGGCAACAGAAGAGACGGGTGCCAGGCTTTTCCACTCTGTCAGTCTTTCATTAGGTGGATAATCTTCTAATCATTACCTGCTTCATCTAATGATGGACTTGAAGGAATAAAGGCTCGGTTTTGTTCCAAGTCCATGAAAGCATTTTAACTGAAATAAGATCAGAAAATAATACGCTTCAAGGAGAAAGATGACTAAATCCAAGAGTTATCTGGTAGGCTCTTCTGCTTTCTCGGTTTCTTTCAAGAATACACCAATGTAAGAATTTTCGCACTTTCACTACACTCTGGGCATTTGTTCCTTTGGCACCAAACATAATCCACATCTATGATGCAGTGTGTAAAACGCTGGTTATACAATCTACTGGCATCAGAATTATCACAAGCACTGACCTTAGAACTCAATGGAGGGCTGCTAATGTCTCAGGGTAAGTACGAGTCCAAAGAGAAAACCAGCATGTTAAAACTTAAGTCCAACTGCTTGCTCACAATTCTACAAACAGAACTTAACATTTGGCCTAGGAAGAATCATAACTACCTAAGCACCTTCTAGAGTCTCCATAAAGTTGTCACATACATCTAAGATTACAGGAACATCAATTTTCCAGAACTAAAGACTTATAAAGATAAATTTTAGAGATACAGACCAAGGTCTAATAAATTTCAACTACTTTCCTCTCTCTGAATTCCATATTCTGAAGCATTAGCTGACATTCCTATCTCTGTACCACAAAGTATTACCAAAATATTTTTAAAAGGGGCAAACAGCTACTTCATTTTATTCTACAGAATATAAGCCTACAGAATTTCAGATGCTCTTGCTACAGATAAGAGGACAGCAATTAATTCTTTGCTCCTTCATTTACTATTTCAGACCTGAACCATTATGTAAGGCAAGATTTTTGACCTCAAAGATGGATTATTTTAGTACCATTCACTTTATGCTGTGGTCAAAGTACCTCTGCTACATTATCAGTCAGTATTTCTCAAAGTCATCCCATTATTCATGTGCTCATCCAGTATTTTACTTAATGACAGCAATTTGAGAGAAGCTAAGTATTGTGCTTTTGACATAATGCCTTGTAACAGCAAGTACTTAAAACTCAAAACAGTGCTTCAAAGCCTTTCCAGTTTTCTGAGATGCCAAAGGTAACAAACTCCCAGGTTACATGGGAAGTAGTATATTCTCATGCAAGGTACTCAAGCCACTAAAGGCAATCCATAGCAAAATATCAGAAATGTGAATTTTTAGAAAGTCATTCAGTAAACAAAAGGTCATGGAAGACCAGATGAAGGTATACCTGGAGTGTTCTCTAAAAAGACTGGATTCCTTAACCCAGGACATTTTAAAAAGCCCAAACCCACTTGACTATGTTTTTGCAGTCTGAACATCTGAATACACTCAAAAATTACTTACACAAATAACAGTTCAGATTGTTCAGAAGTCAAATTATCTTCCTGCTCAACTCAACTTAATAAAAGCTAAATCACTAAGCATTACTGTTTCACAACGAACAACATTAACTATTCTGAAGGCCTGTAAGAGAACACTGAACAGCGTCCTCTCTGCAGACTGCTGTACCTCCAACCTTCTTCATATAATGGCAGACCTGAACCAAACTACAAACAGAACATATAAAAAGGGTATAAACTGTATTTCCATCTTAATCTGGACATCACTAGGTAAAATATTGTGTATGGTTTTGTGTGCTGGAGTCTATCTAAACTTTAAAGTTTAGATAAAGCATTGCAAAACTGTATCAGGAAAGAGTTGTAAATGACAATACACATGAGTGGAAAAATAGAGCATATTTTATGAAAAAAAGAAAAAAGGCATCTTTGCCATAAGTGACCGATACAGAATAGAGCAGAACTAATAATTCTATTTAGAACACAGCCCACTTAGTGGTTTTAGCACTTTAATGCACTTCAGTGAACATATTAGCATATCAGAATTCCAACTCATCTATATTTGAGTACTTCTTGATGCAGCCCACTAAGCAAGACACCTTTACAACTGTATACAAAAGTAGTAAAACAGACCCTGTCCTGAAGAGTTTAGGATCTAAAACAGGAAGGAAAGATAACATTGCTTGCCCAAAGCTGGTGAGAGAGGCAGATGATGATCTCAGTGACGTTAACTGTAAGCAAGGTTTTGAGACTTAATCTAAGCGTTTTGGCAAATTAACTTGTTCCATAGGTCCCTATACAGAAATGATCTACAAAAGATGATGAAAATTCATTGTGGGCCTCCTCCCTTCAAAGAAGTTTGTGGGTTTGTTTTTAAAAAAAAAAGAAAGCAACCCAATCTTTTCATTTCATAGGAAACCTGTACTGGCTTTCCTACTTTTGAAGGGCATAACAGAGAACTGTCTAGATGACCTAATCCCTCCTAATAGGACACAACATGGAAGGAGAGATGGAGTATGGAAAAGATTTATTTTCCTCTGTGGCACTCTTAGTCATAGCGAAGGCTTACTAAAGAGAATATTATGATTACGAGGACCAAACAAATAGTTTTTTGTATTACTGAAATCGAATACTTCTATAGTTATATTAATGGGGAAAAAAATTCTAATACTCTCTAGTACGCACATTACCTATGTCTAATCAAAATATTCCTGTTCTTTGATTGCCAAATTCACCTAAGCATTCAGCCCATATTTTAAAGTCACACCACATGTAACCTTTCAGTCTCACTGGACAAATAGGGGACCTATGGTTCTGGTCACTGAAAAGTTTATGTGAAATTATATCTGTGTTTCATAACACTTTGTTTCAACTTGAAGGACCGGAAGGTTATTTTTAAGATTCAGAATGTTTTATTTGGAACATATTCTCTTGTTTGCATTTTTTTTTTTAATTTGTGCACAACAAAATGATAGCAAACAAGTCAAAGAAATAAGAAACAGAAGACATTCTCAGGTGTCACCCCAAACTATCAGTTTACAATGTACAACAGTACAGTACACTTTACCAGTTAGCTTATCTAAAAGAAAAAATTGATATATCTTTATCAATTAAGATATATCTTTAATTGATATGGGACAGTGGGACAGTGCATTTTAAACAAACCTTGCCAACAGGAACATTCTTAACATCTTCCACAAACACGACTTCTCTCAGAGACCACTGCTCTTCATTCACTTTCTCTTCCTCTTTTGGGGCAGGAGTAGATCGTCGTCGTTCTGAGAGTTACGAAAAATTAAAAAAAAAAAAGTCACTTGACACAAACAAACAAACACCAAACCTTTCCCCCTCCCAAAGACACCTTCAATATTCAAATCTAAAATTAATGAGGTTAATGACAGAGGTTAACAAGAATCTTAAAGTTACATTAAGTCAAAGGTACATAATGTAGCATGCCACTTTCATGCTTTTCTATTGAATTAGCACCAATAAAGACTCTTTATCAGAGAAATAAATATATTTTAATGACATTCAAGCTATAAATTAAAAAAAAGAAAAACATGATTAAAGGAGGTTATTATATGAAGTAATTTTTGCATGGCTCAGATATTCATGCTGTAACAAGACTGAGATTGTAATACCCTGCGTTCAGCACTGCTGAAGAGTACTTTATTTCACCCTTTGCAAAGGACTACTAACCTATGGATTTTTGGAGAAATTTCTAAAACAGTAGTAACTGAGGCAAAAAAAATATTTGGACTCATAGCAATTGCAATATAGTAAGATTTGCTTCAGAGACATTATCCGAACAGCAACTAGAGTAAATTAAAAATCACTGAGGAAAAAACATTAAATACATAACATGGCTAAATTAACACTGACAAGAACTTTCATCTCCTGAAATGATTATCTACAGTATAACTAATATTATCAACATAATTTAAATTAAGAAGCAGAGAACTTTTCAGCCAACTGTGACGCTAACTTCAAATAGTAGTTCAAAATGCCACATAAAGTTATAGTCATGGGATAATTACAGTTGAAAGAACTACAAAACAGAAGGCATCAATAACAAAAGATTCTACTAATACTATAAATTAGTACTACAGATCTGAGCATAAGAAATTCTCAATCATTGCATGAGGCCATTTGATTCTCTAGCTGAACAATTCTTAAAACTGCAGCCTGTGAACAACTAGAATCTACAGGGCCACAGAAAAGATTTTCAAATGATGATATTGCAATAAACCCTTTATAAAATCTACGCATTTAAATGGAGGGGAAAAACAAACAACAAACCCAAAGATCCATCAGAAGTCAGTTACATTGGCTCAGGACACAGAATTCTAATAGAGTATTTTAGGTCTTGAAGTTCAATTTTACACTATAAAAAAAAAAAAAACTTTCCTGACTACTTGTACACATCCAGTAAAGAATGTCTGGTTTTAGACATTTAATGCAATAACGATGACCAACTACTGCTTTGCCCCATGGAAGGCCATCTTTGAGGCAAACTGTGCACAAACATCTTAATCTTGAAAGGAATCCTCCAAAACAATTTCAGTATCTGGGTTGTAAACAACCTCACTATCGCATTCCAATTAAACACAAAAACAGCTTTATTTTCTGGCTTTCTGCTGATCACCTTCTGATTTTGAAGAGAACTAAATATTATGCTTACTTAGTTACACCTTACATCAAGTAGTCATTACTTACACTAATACACTTAAATTCCTTTATATATATTGCGGTTCATTGTGAAAGGCCAAAAAGAATTTTTTTTTACTTTTCCTCAGACTTCTGAAATTAATATCATATCTTTCCAGGGCTGCCATTTATTAAAACATCTTATCTGCACAAATATTTTACCATACTATGAACTATCTACATTACTTACTATATGGCATTGATGCACTGCTTGCTATTGAGGATGCATCACTACAAGTAGAAGCTGGGGATGGAGGAGGACCCATCTCAGTTTTCACTGGTTCCTGTTTGCTTTCAGGCCTAGAATAAAAAGCATTACTTAGAATAAAGAAACAAGAAGGTGAAGTCTCTTCCATGACAGACAGACAGACAGACAGACTGTCATTATGTCCAAGAAACCAGCCACGCACCACATCCTGATTTTTGTAATAACAAAAGTATTTTTTTGGCAAATACTTTAATGAAATAACTTCATACTTCAGAACAAATGTCCTAACCAACATGACTATATATATCCCATATTCTGGATGGTGCTGTGCTTCTTAATCAGAAGATTAGCTTTATAACATTAATGGAGCATAAATACAACAATATCAAGCATAAATATCCTCAGATGTTGAAGATAGAAAGAATTATTAGTTTTATACAGTCATCTGAAACTCTGAAATTGGTAAACTTTAACCTTTACAGAAAGATTTAAACTGACAACTGCCAATCCAAATGATTTTATTCCAAGTATTGAGGGGCTGAAAGATGTCTCACAATGCCACAAAGGGCTTGAAAGTAGTTAGTTCCACAAACAAAACCACTTTCCAAGATCTCATATTTGAGTGTATGGAAACATTAATTATGAAATGCTTGGTGGGGGAGGGGTGTTTAAGTCTTCATCTAATACTCTTCTTGCATCTTCACATTTCCATAGTTATTTCAGATAACTGAGACATCTTTCTTGCAGTAAGCCTTTCTGCACATTTAATAGAGTTTACAAGAAAGTTAAGAGCCTACAAAATATCAACAAGTTTAAAATAAGAAAAAGACCTTCCTTCCAATCTTGATCAATCAACAATTCACAAGAATATTAAACAAGTGCTCTGTGTGTGCGTGCGTGTGTGTTTTTTCATTCAACATACTTACTTTGCCTCAGTAGTTTTGCTAGCTTTCTCCATGTTTTTCAAGCTCTCTGGCGACCGAAGCTGAAATCGACAGCTGTCATTCATGTTCCAAACAGATTCCATTAAGACACCTACTTTAGGAATTCCAGCACTGATTGAAAAAGCAACTGCTCCAGCATGATAGAGGGGGTTATTTCTTAAACACACCTAAAAATAGAAGTATTTATTTCAATGAGAACACTGGATTACACGCATTTTCTTGGTGACATGTAGCAGCCAGAAAAAAAGGAAAGGAAAACTTATGGAACTGGGTGAAGAGGAAAGTTAGCATGATGTACTATGCACTTTACTAGAAGAAAGAGGTCGTTGTACAACTGGCAGCTGAAAACAGCTTTAGAAGTGTAACTGTTAGATATACACTATTTAGAGGCTCAGCCCAAAAAGGAACAATTCAGCAAAAACATGAAGACTCATCCCAGAGCAGATTAGAAGGCACTGGGAACCAAAAGCAGCAGAGTCCCTGGAAGGGAGCTGTTTCGGCTCATACTAGTTATACTATTAATCACAAGAAGAAACCTAAACTTCTTTATCAGTTATTAATGTTTTTTAGTAAAGAATTCAAACCAAAGCCCTATAGTCCTGCATGAATCAATCTCAGACCCTAATCCTGTAGGTAGTTAAATGCCTAGTCATTTACAAAGCTAAATGCTCTTTTAAAGCATAACGTTTCTACACTTTCTTTCTCTCAAAGTACAGAATTGGTAGGAAAGATGCAGGTAAGTGAGAACAAAGGTATTTTGTATGGATACTGTTTGTTCCTCCATGTTTACAGTAATAATCATACTAATAAAACAATATAAACACTAACAAGATATATCACTTCATAGTCATAGTATTTCAATCATATATTTTAACTCTAGATTACTTATAGAACGCCTGTGCATAACAGGAAAGGAGCTTGAATTGCAATTCTTCTTTGTGTAAGAACAGGCTGTAGGTTCATCATATACCACTACAACTGTGTCCCATGTGACAGTTGCACTTGCCTGTGTTCCAACGGTTATGTTTGGCATTGAGGAAATACCAGCACTAGATTTGGGCTTTTTATTTTTTGCTCTGGCCTTTTCTAGCATTTTCTTCCTTTGGCTGAAAGGAACTACTCCCCTGCGGAAAAAACACATAATATTAACAAAAGGCTATGAAAGAAATACTGTCTTTATATCCTTGAACAATTTATTCTTTCTGCTTAATGTAGTCACGTTTAAATATACAGCTCTCTGTGCTACCTTCTCCAAAATCCCAAAGCACTGCAGAAGTGACATCTTTTTCCATATGCACCCCCACCTTCCAAAATTCATCTCAACTTTCTAATTTATAAGGAAGAGGAGGACAAAGGGGGACAGTGCATAAGAAATGTCACTGCCAATTGATAACTACCATTCTATTCCAAAATGCCTTGAGACCTCTGCCTGAGACTGCGCTCCAGACACAGCTTAAGCCGTGCACTGTCCCCTCTGAACCTGATAATATATTGGCCGTGACTAGCGGTAATTTCCAGAATTTGCTGTCTTGTCTTCACTAGGGACCAGGATAAGCCTTGTCACTTTTACACTCCAAACACCTCACTTCCTCTCTGTGGACATGGCTGAAGGACTCCAGGGGTCTTCTGGCAGATTTAAGCTGCTGAGGGGTGGGGGGGGAGAAACTCCTCCTTTTCTAAAATAATACTTAAGTATGCAGTTAAATCCTCTTTTTATTTTGATTTTGACACTATAAAATTTCAATGCTTCATGTTTCAGCCAGTGTGTTATGAAGTTAGATGTTTTTATCTGAAAGTCTTTCATGCTAGGCAAAACATGAGAAGTGCTGTTTTCCAGTCTTGCACAGGACTGAAGTCCTCTTTACCATATCAGAGACCACTGCACCTAAGTATATCGATAGTAACAGAAGCTTCTGCCTACATCAATCTGATTAATATATAATTACCAACATGGAAATTTAACCCTTCCCACAAGTGGCTTGTTGATTAAAAAAAAAAATTTATTATTCAAAGATTATATATAGATGCTAATAAGCGTCTTTAATAAATTGGACCGATTATTCTAAAAAGAAATAAAAACAGAAGGGTCAGACAGACAGGTATCTCCAATTTTAAGGCTTATTAATTTCCATACCAAGTAATTATTCTGAGTGAAGTATGTCCATAGTGACATAAAAAAACAGAACAGCTGTAACTCTGAGATTTCAGACTAGAATTCAGAATTGAAAAAAGGACTTTAGGTTTACAAGCAAAGCTACAATTCTACTTCGAAGTTTTCTAGAGTTAACAGAATATAATGAAAAAAGCTATTTCACAGACTCGATTTTCAGTGCTAAGATTTCCAACTCATCACCAAGTATTTAACATATCCATGCCCAAAAGGTACTTGAGCTTCTGCTATTATATATAGCGCAACAACTTCTAAAGCGGAGACAAAAAACACACACTGACAATGCATTAATGATACTCAATAAATTCACTCGAGTTAGATATGCCTTTCAGAGCTCTTTTGGAAGTGTTGTTTTTGAAAGTTTTTTTTTTTTGAACATAATTAAGATATCTTGATATAAAATTTAATTATTAAGCAGCCTAATATTTCAAATTTTATAAATGTTTATGCATTATGTATTTTAATAACAAGTTCCAGAACATCTGATGTTATTTCTGTCTTATTTAGGATCTAGACCATAAACTAGCAGATCAGACTTTCTAACAGACCCTGACACGAATGGGGACCTCTCAGTTGATTAAGTTTGTTCCACGCTTATAATTTGAAAAAGGCCTGAAAGGCTTAAAATGTACTAAGGTTATTCTGTGAAATAGTACGGTACTGAAGTATCCGATTACCAAAGCATTCACAAACATCTTCTATGGATACATTTATTCTCTTAAAGATGTTCTAATTGGATCTAAAATCTTTAGGCGCAAAGGAAGACAAACTTTTCAATGGGTATCAAGCTCAGGTGAAGAGTTACAGAACTCAGAAGAATTACAATTCAGCCATTTTGCAGTGCTTCTCAGAACAAACGATATGAAGATATCCATTACAACCACACCACTCTATGCAAACACAACATTTACTTACCACCAATACAAGTTGTTCTCTAGCTGAGCACATGTATATAGAGCACAACAATGTAAGGAAACAATCCGCTCTCCCTGAAGCTCTGAATACGTCTGTGCAGTGTGTTCTAATTTAGAAGCTACTGAGCTTAAAGTTTCATCCACCCAGGTAGCAACCTAAGGGAAAAGGGAAGAAAGAAACAGGAAAGGTTGGGTATAAAAATAAATAAATATAGATAGATAGATAGATAGATATCTCAATAACCCCATGTGGGATATTATCCCCTACCACCTTTTCCTCCCCTAGAACTGAGCTTCTGGGACATCTTTCCTCTATTTCCAGTCCCAGACAGAAAAAAAGAGGACATGTGTCACCATGTTCTAAAAGTATTTCAGTAAGTACATACACTTTATCAAACCAAATGTTTCACAGTTTCAAGTTCACTCTTGACTGAGCAGAAAAGCTTATTTATTTAACTTACTTTACAGTACTGAAAGCTTCAATGCACTAGTTTTTCAGTAATGACATCCCAAACATTAACAGGCTTCTCTATTCCAAAACCAGGGTCAGATTCTAGCGCAACAGTCAAGCGTTTCAGATCATCAGGTAAAACAGATATCCTTTCACTGTTTCAACTCCAAATCTGCTGGATCTAAATATTATCAAGTTTTCCATTCACATTTTCTGCTTTTTACTTTTTGCATTTTTACAAAACACAAATTAGGCTTGTTTTGTTTTTACATTTCTATAGAAGAAAAGAAGATGAACGAGTAAACAAAGATTATTAGTTCCTACTACTGACAAAGCTGAAGAATCAACTTCACTACAAATACAACATATGTAGCTGAAAAAAAGCTTTACCAAATTCAGCAACCACCACACATCTCATACCTTGTTATTTTCAGTGGCAACAGTTGCTCTAATACTATTTGCAGAAAGGAGTACTATCTTTTCATTGGTTAATCCCAAGAACATGGCTCGTGGATGATGTAGCGAAGGATTCTTTGAAAACAAGAAAAATACTTTAGATATTCAAAGCCTGTAAAGCATGCTGAAGGTAGCATTTAAGGGTGTACAGTACCTGTGCATTTCTATAAGGCTCTGATTCACTCCACTTCCATTGATAGAGTTCTCCTTTACTGCTAACTGCCACAAGCTCAGAATACAGAGCTCCAATAGAAATAAACTTTGTTCCATCCTACAAGTACAGAAATATGAAGTCTAAGTCAGCACTATTACAAAATCTGCATATCAAAATTTTAACATAACAAATTTAAATATAAAAAATGAACTTAAGTTTTTTTTCAGCGTGTCAAAGAATTTTGGACTTGGAAATAAAGATGAGCTTGTCATAAACCAAGCACATCCTCAAAGAAACAAGTAGTACTACCTCCACATAATTTCAGAACAAAATACTGCTTATCAAACTAAAGATGGGAAGACCTCCGACTTGTGGCATTTCTAAAAGAAATGTTTCCCTCTAGAATTCTGGCCTTTTGAAATGAACAGAAAAGCAACCTAATTGCCTTAATCTTCAGTATGCTCATGAAGATATCTTTCAACAAACTTCCAATTCACTACCTCAGTTAAATCTTCCACTTCCAAAGGCAAACAGACAACAGCAAACAAGATCAAGTTCTAAAACTCAGTGTGCTAAATGTCACTTCAATCCATCACTGTGACCCATCACGCTGGACAAGCTTCCAATTACAGGTTACGGGTTTCTTTTTTGCTTTTTAACACTTCAGCTAGTTCCATGTGGTATTTTCCCACTACTTAGCTAATACCACTTTGCTCAACTGTTTCATCTTGCACATTACCTGGATCTCACAGGCCTTTTCTCTCAGATTTGGCTGTATGTTGCAGCGCCTATGCAATTACAATCTCATTTTTCCAAGTTCCTGTTTCCCATTGCACTGATGGGAATCCCAACCTACAAACCTGTGAATTTGAAGAACTTGACAAAATACTTACTGCTGTTTACTGAGAACGAGTAAGGCCAGCTAATTCATTGCTCCTCAGCAACTGCTGAGTCAACCACGTTCTTTCTAATAATCTTTACACAAACTGAAAGTTCCCTTCCACTGAAGGGAAAATACAGTGTAAAAAAAATGCTAAATTAAATTAGCATAATCAAATGTTATAAAATTCTATCTTTTACAGCTTCAAAACCTGTTTTCGCTACACTAGATATCTGCTGGACCAGTATCCTTAGCTGCCTCCCTTGTATCGCAAAAGCCAACAAAGCAATCGGATACCTTGTTTTAAGTAATACAGTCATCCGATGGGAAACTGAACTCTCAATGTGAGACCATTAGAAAAAGAACAAACAGTAATTTATCTGTCCCTTCAGTTAAGAGGCTTTCCTTTCAGCTACAAAAGTTTTCAAGTGAAAACAAAGGTTTTCAGTTTCATCAATCTAGATTCACATAGTTCTCTGTTATTTGTGTGCATGGAGTTGCATATTTCAAGAGGCATGAGCGTATCCTTCAATGACACAGTACTCAGTGCATCTCTAACCAATAGCTCAAAATTCTGAATATCTTGGGAAAGAAGAAAGAGAAGGCTGCAGGAAGGGACAGGCGAAGTCACAAGAATTCTGTTTTATAGTACAATAACAGGCTCAAGTACTAGTTAAGTCATAAGAGAACTATCGTGTTCTGGAGGGCATCTACCAACGCAGTCCACAGACGTAGCAGTAATGCTAACCTGAGTCATGATTAATAATTTCCAATATATAAATACTACATATTCTGAGAAAGAACTGCCATCACAACATATAGCAGTCTGAGGAGATGCATCTCTACTTCATCAGGGTAAACGAATCTTCAAGTTATATGGCCTAATGTCTCAAAGTTAAGTATAGAAAGCAATTTTTGCTACAAGAAAATATCACCGGGACTTTTTATCTTGCTTATTTAAAAAAAAGTTATAAAATGAATTAACAGTTTTATACACACAAGGTAAAACTAGAGACCTGCCATTCGAAGCCCTTCTCCCCCTTCCATCAAAATATTAGCACTTGTGATCTAAAATCAGAACCTAGACTACATAAGCCTCTATGAGGCCGTTCAAAAGAGTAACGGCACAAAGATGCATGAACAACATACAAGTCTGGTACTGTAACCAGTCTTGTGTGTTCAGTTATAAACACTGACTTCAGACCAAAGGAATTACATTATTTGCCTTTTCAGTAACCACACAGATACTGTAAACAGATAGAAACAGGAACACTAGAAAGAAACACCCCAGCTTCATAAAATTTGGCCTAATAAACACCAGCTTTCACTTCCATTCCTGGAAAGTTCGTTCATTTCACCAGGCATCTAGATAATTCATCAAGATGATGACTACAAGTACACAGCCTGCAACATATAGCCTGCAACATTCCTATTAGTCTTACATCTCACAGGGGGAAATTTTTCATTCCTTGAAAATGGAATTAGAGATGCTAAAAAGTCCAGCTAATCAAAGTCAAAGGGATTCTTAAGTAACTGTCGATATTCATTTATGTTATTTGCAGTCTTGTTTTGCGTTAACCAGTACGTGCCAGCTTTCATTGCTGTTTCTTACAAGTCTGATCCAATCAAACTGAAAGTATCCTAGAAAAAAAAATGCTAACCAAGTTTTTCTTTATTTCTTGTACAGAAGGATAGTTTAAGCTGTTTCCCTATTGCTTATGAAATTCTTTGAGCATCTAAGTGAAAAAAAGAAACCAAGCCTTGCAATCTACGGTGGTGGCTTCAAAAATACACGAAGGAAGAAATTAAAACAAAAATAATAGCAGGACCATGATTATACCGGTATAATTAATTATTTATAGTTTTCCTAAGTGCATAATAAAGCATATGCTATTTACGTTATCTCACACACACTAAACTGGGAAATTTAACACGGAAATAAAGAGTATTTATTTGGAAGACACAAACAGAAGTCTATTGCAAAACATGCAAATAAAACACAAATTTTCAATACCTTATCTGGCCACCACTGCAAGTCTTCTCCTAAAGAAACAGGACTTTGAACTGGTGTATTCTTCTTGTCCAGGTTTGGTTCCCCTTCCTTACTTGTAGAGCCTCTTTCATTATCAAATGAGGCTCCATCAAGCCACCTTCGTTCACGCAAACGTAAAACGGACTCACGTTCACGCAACAGCTCAGAGTCTCTCTCTAAGGGAAGAAGGAGAACTGGTATGCAATTGGGTCACACCAGTGGGATAAAAGTAAGCCACTCTCTAGTAAAGACCCTTCAGGATGCAACTAACAGCAGTTATAACTACTCACAAAGATTAAAAATAAAGAAGTCCTGACATGCAACATTCAATAGATTAACCCTTTCAAGCATATGTACTTTAGAATTACTAAATATAAAAATAGTAAGATAGAAATAAAGAAGTCTTATAGTTTGTGTACTAACAAAATGTGAAAGCATATTGCTTACTTTTCATTTAAATTATAAGAGGCCAAATACATTTAACATAGCAACTTAAAGTTTTAGAGTACAATATGCAGAGTTTTGTAGTAATGTTTTATTAATCTAGTTAAAAAAAAAAATCTAAATCTATACCGTCTGTTAGATACATTTAAGCAAACCAAAAAAGAGTATTTATTAGAGAGTTTCATAACAACTTTCCCCAAAAAACAATAATTTGAAAAGGTTAAAGAAAGCAAGCATAAAAAAAAGCTCTTGTATAAACTTTTGATAATCCAACCCCTTTTGTTGAAAGCCATACTCTATAGGACTGGATTTAATAAGTTAAAGTGTATCTGTTTTGAGTAGATCAAATGAAAACTTTTCAAGAGTCAGACAAGTTTTAAAAAGGATCCTTGTAGGAAAATGTTCCTTACCAAAAGGCTTCCCCTCCAATTGGCCTACAAACTGTCTAAAGCCAGTACTCTGCAGTTCGCTCATGCAGATAAATTTTTTAAATCAGGTAATCAAACTAACTTTCCAACAGTCAACTATGCATGGAAAATAAGGATTATAAAATTCGTGGTAACGTCTTATATAGAATAACCTTAGGAAAGGAAAAAAAAGGAGGAATTTAGAAGGAGTTATGTCAGATGCTAAATATTTGTACATGCACATAATGCATTTAACGTATTAAGTACTTCATTTATGTTCACAAAAGTCAATTGGAATTACATGTATGAGATGACCATGTTACTGTATCATAGTTTCAATAAATTACTCCAAGTCTTGGGTCTTTTGCTATACTAGACAAATGGGAAAGCTTTTACATAAGCCAAAAACAACAGCTTCTCTTACAAATATATTTCATGTTGTACTGTACTTACTATCTTCTAGCAAACATCACACTGATCCTTGACTAATAATTTTGTAACAGCACTTAAGTGTTCAGCAATTAATATACTATAACAGGTTCACAAAAGGCAACAGAACTGTACTAAATAAACAATGACAGCAGAGGTTGGATTAACAGTTTATAAATACCGTGGGCATTTGTGTAATAGCTTCAAAAAGCTAAGAAATTACTCCATGTTCTATTAAGTGTAATAGGCTTTACAAAAACAGGTAAAACACCTTAACGCTACTCAAGGTGTTCATTACCAACTGTACGGAGTTGTCCCTATCCAACTACAAAAATGCTTCCAAAAAGTAGAATATAGATATCTTCTCCCTCCCTTGTATCTAAACATACTTCTCCTCATTCCATAACATTAATCTCTGTCATGGAACACCTTAAGAAAGTGTAAAGAACAGTGCATAAAGACCAATCCCCCTCCCAATCTGATTAAGAATGCTGCATGTCATCACTTGTTACTGATTTCTGAGCAAAATTAAATATTCCTAATGCAACAGATGAGTTAGTAGGTACTTATACTACACATTTTAAAATAAACTTATCACGCAAAAATTTTACAACGCTTCGCAACGTCAGTGATCATCTGACTATCAAGGTTCTTACAGAACTTACCTGCTCATATTCAAAGTCATTAATAATTCTGATCATGAGTAACAGTCTACTTATCTACTCTATATCTTTGACAACATATTACAGTCTACTTTCACACTAGATCAGAATCTAAACCACCAGTGTGTACTATCATAAACATTTTGCACAGAAAACTACTTATTACAAAGAAAAAAAGGTGCAAAATTACCTCTGGATGAGCCTAGCCTGGAAAGCGATGAGCGCCGAAAGGATGGATAACCAAAGTAACTAATATCTTCTGAAAACATAGCATCAGCATCAATAATGACACTTGGGTGAGCAGAATGTATGTCAGCATCCAGAAGAGACATAAGATCCTCTATAAGAGGAGACAAGGGTCTTAAGTGAATAATCAGCTACTTAAAACATCAGCTAGAGAGACCACCAACTAGGTGAATATCAAAATTAAAAAAAACCCTACCTATTAATTGAATTTCTGCTCTTCAGATTCACCAGTGCAAACTGATGTGCCTCATCCACATTTACGATCAAGCGTGGTCGACTAGAGCACAGACCCAGCTTCCCTGCGAGAACTGTTCCCTCACTTATCTAGCCACATTTCCTAAACGAGTCTTACCTGAAACAAGTCTCAGTAACCCAGAAATTCAAATCTTAGCTTTTTGCTTGGAAGAATGAAGTGCCAAGGTAAATATACATACATACAGGTGCTCACACACTTACGCACATACACAGAACTCCAAAGATGACCTAGATTTAAGGAGGATAAAATTGATGATGAAAGCTGCCCCTCATAGAGTCTCATCTTTGATATCAAAGAGCATACATTCCTCCATGGAACATTTCTTTCAGAGAATGACATTTGTTCAGTTCACAAGCTGGTAGATGCCGCTCTCAGTGCAAAGCTTTAAATGGTAGCAACATTTAAAACAACAACAGTTATCTGGAAGAAAGAACCATTGTTTTATACAAAGATGAACCTAAATACTGTAACAATCTTGGCTACTACTAAAAAAAAAAAAAAAAATCTCTGAGCTATCAATATCCTTCTGTGTAGTAAAGCATAGATGCTATTTGCACACAGAAGAGCCTCCTAAAAATTCACGCAACGCTTCAGTGAAGCCCAGGAATATGGACTGATAATACAACCAAAAGCACATTATTTGCCATGGATTCATTTATTGAAAGACTTTGCCTGGATAGATTCTGATCTGAAACTGAGCTCTCATTATGCCCTTTCCCTTAAGGGGAATCATAAGGTCTCTCCTCTTCTCACCTGCGTATTTGTATGAAACGTTCAGGAATTTGATGGCTTCAGTATCTCTAACTCTGTGAAGTTTGGATTAAACTGTGACAGTGAAGGGACATAAATGTGCATTTTGGTATCCTAAGAAACCAAAGTCAAACAGGATTCCACCACTCATTTCTTGATGACATATGTTTATTCAGGATATTACCTATATTACCTAACTTGAAATTCATCTTCAAAAAATAAAAATAACTAAATAAATTCCATACACCTAGTTGTCGTCCCAAAAGGGAAGTCACTGAACATTCAGTTTTAAACTGATCCCTATATTACACTCCAATTTCAGTCTTTGCTGCAAATCAAAACAAATAGTGCTGCAATACAAAACAAGTCTCTCTTGCCTCTCCTTCAGGAGGGAGAAAAAAAAAAGAAAAAAAAAAAGAGATTTTTAAACAAGCTTGTCTCAGATTCCAAAAAATCTAAAGTTGTCTAGATATTCTGGATGTCGCCAAAACTATGTTTCAAGAGTTCCAGTAGTGAGAACCAGCTATATGAAGAAGTTATGAGCGGACATGCACAAACTTGACCTATAAAAATTATATTAAGCTCTAGAGAACCAGAAAAGATTAAAAGAAACAGAAAGCCTAGAAGCAGCCTCCAAAACAATTTGTTATGGGCTAGAAAATTAATCTAGACGCCTTCAGGTCTTTTCTATGCTAACTAATTATGATTTATGTAGGTTTTTACCTTATTTTCCCCAGGTACCTGCTATATATCAAACGCACACAGAATCTTCTTAGATGACCATTGTAAAACAAAAATAATATGACTAGATTAAAAAACAAAAAACCAAAACCAAAAAACACACCCCAAAGTATGTAAGGCTCTAAAATAAAAACAGAGACATTTAGTAAAGGCAGTATGTGCAGAAAAGTAGAACTTCTGCTCTTCACTTAAGACATTTTGAAGATCTCTGAAAGAATGGAAACTACTTTGGTCATCCTGACCCTCATCCCGACAGCCTCCCCCCCCCTTTTTTTAAAAAAAAGAAAGCAGATGTATAATCCTCACAATACTAACTGAGATTATCACAACTGATATACTGACGAAATGATGTATGAAACAAGAATATTCAAATTTCACAGTAACTGTAAAGTAATTTAGTACTTTTTTTCCTTTTAAAATCAAGTGCAAATTGGAAAAAAAAAGCCTCTCTGCCTTGTAAGATTTAGAGGAGTAACCCCTAAATTTAAGGGTCACAGAGCACCAGACATGCAGAAGGAAGAAAGTAAAAATTAGCATATCCTTTTAATCAAAATGCAGGAGCCTCAAAAGTCCTGAGGCAAAAGTAGTCTTGTCATTTTTTTTTTTTGTGCTTGGGAGGAACAAAAACAGAGAGCTTTAAAGCATTAGTTTGACATCATTAAAAACAAAAATAAAACCACAAAAACACATACACACAAAAAGATAAAAACCACACAAAAGAAGTTATCTTTCAGAATCACTTATAAAAACCTTATTAAGGATTGAATGTGTAAAGCCGCTACTGGTTACCTACAGTTTTCTCCCATGAACTCTAATGTTACAGGTCCAAAAGAACATCCATAGGCAATACAAGTGAAAATGAGGAGAATGCAAATTTCTTGGAGCAAAAAACTTAAACATTGTTTCTGTGCAGTCAGAAAGGACAGGATGTTGCTCTTTTTTCAAAGAGTTACAGGCAAGGTTCTCTGGTCATCACACTTACCTGAAATCTAGCCTACATGACTAAGTCATAAGGATGAGAACTGCTAAATTTGTACTATTTAATATATCGATGGTAGAGTCATAACAGCACTGACTGCTACTCAACTGGACTTCTCTGCTTTGATCACGTTCTGATCCTGAGGGAATTCATTTCTGTGCAACACACCTAGTTAATTTGCCCATAAAACTTAAATAACATAAGGACAGATATAGAAGGCAGCGCATGCTCTAGCAACTGTGAATCACATCTTTGAAGACAAGGTTGAGACATAGCAGGTTTCATTTCAGTTGTCATTTCCTCCTCCTTCCATACAAGAATTGGGGAAAAGTTAGCCAAGTTTCTGCACAGAGTAAAAGGAGAGTCGAAAAAATACTAATATTAGGAGGTTGCAATCTCTTAAAGGAATGATTAGTCTAAAAAGGGGAGTCTAAAAAGGGGAGAAGCTTTAAGAGTTAAGTCAATGAGGAAGTTGTTTTCTGGCATCTACTTAAGACAGTGAAACCAAACCTGGCATACTACTTTAACCTATCTCAAATACAAGAGACTCAGACTGTAGCCCAGGCATCCTATAATAAATCTGAGCAGTCATAGGTTTTCAGACAGTCCCTACTAATTGATCCCTATGATCTCATGAAGCACCAAGAGAATAGTAATGCTGCAGAAAGCTAGTCAGTACTGGTTAAAATGAACTTCCACTCCAAATGACTACTAACAGTGATTTATCTTCTGAAGGCGGTTTCTGGAGGAAGGCATTCTGGTATGCTTAGAGGAAGAACTCCTGCTTCAAATAAACAGACAGAGTTAGAAGAATTTACTTCCTCCAGTGCATCTGTCTTAACACTGATCACTAAAAATCAAGACTCACATTAAGGATTTTTCACCCCTACCTACGAGTTCAACCAGAGGATTCTTGATTCTACAGCAATATAAAAAAGCTTGTCAAATGCAACTGAAACCGGAAGAGGTAAAATGGATTACAAAGCCTCTACTGCAGAACAAAAAAGCCTCTTTATCTAATCACATGATCATCAAGATAAAGGTGGAGGAAGCCCATGAGCCTTCCTGGTGAACCAGATGAGCAGAAAAAACATCTATTAGAAAAAATATCAAAATATCATTCTGACACATAAAAAGGAAAGCTAATATGTAGTCAGAGTTTAGGTTCCCCCCCCCATACAGCGCACCTAACTATACACATGCAAATATTAGATTTGACTAAGTTATTTAGTCAATGCAAAAGATGACTGGAAGTCTTTTCTGAAAAGAAATTGCATGGGATAGTCAATATTTCAAAACTACAGAACTTCAGTAGCAATATTATACCTGTATTTCCAGCATTTCTGTATGAGGGGCATTTGAGATGAAGAATAAATTCTCAGTCTAACTGTAAGATTTGTAAACTGTTTCACTCTCACTTGAGACATTTTGATAAAAAAGCTGCATAACTTTTGCCTAAAAAACCCTGTATCTTAAGAATACATTAGTAAAAAAACATGCAAGTCACTATTCAATTTTAGAATTAGCTTTTATGAGCAAGGCACACAGCAGTCATCTCAATGAGCAGCAACATACATATGTAATGCTGATGTTACAAAGCCCAGGATCCTAAAAAATTCACTTTCATGTCACCCACAAGTAGAGTCAATAGTTATTCTTTAAATGACTGAACTAATCCCTCCTTACATCCCAGGGCATTTTTTTTTTGTGCATCATGACATTTCACTTCTATAAGGAAGGGCTGTCCTGTATACCTTGCACAGCATGGAACATGCTGTCAATTCTTAAATACAGGAAAATAAGAGCACAGGGTTATTTTCTTATTAGTTTGAAGGATACAAACCTCCAGGAAGGTATGATTCACTTGCTGTGTCATCCCCATCATCTCCATCTTCATCATCACGACTCAACAAATTATTTACAGCAAGGTTTACATCAAGATTTGTTCGCTGGAGTTCCCGAATAATAATACTTCTGGATTTCCCTTGTAAAACAACTTGTGCCTGTAAGAGCAGAGCATAATTAGTTACTGGCCATTCTCAACTCACCATTCGCAAGATAAGAAAGCTTAATTCTAGAAGCAGTCCAACAAAAAGCAAGAATGCTACTATTTGTTCTTCAGAAGTCACACGCAGTACCTAGAGGCAAAGACTCATGCAGATTTTTCCAGATATCTTATGCTAAATACTTAACTTGTTCTCAGCTTAAGTTAGAGCACCGAATTCCAGCTTTGGGGCTGAATTTCCTAATGGGCTAGCATCTTGCCTCTACAAAAGCAGATGCTGCCAGCTCTTACCGAATTTGGAACTCAAAGAGAGAGAGGAACTAGAAGCCACTTTGTCACCGATGTCTCTAAGACACTTTGCCTTCCAGCTCCTATCTTGTGCCAGCTATGCTATATGCCCTCCAAAGCATACGGGCAGCTAATCTTTGGCACACCAACTACTGGCTGTATTCCCAATCATGACCAGAAACTTGTTTTAAACTAAGAATTAAAATGTGTTAACTAGTTACATATTCTGAAGGTATTAATTTATTCAAATGGAGAAAAATATTGTTTTAACAAATTCCATTGAATCACATAGCATAAAGTCCACCAGCTTATTTGACCTTTGGTTCATTAAGGGGTAAAAGCAGAGTAATTGATGCCCAACATTTATCAGTTGCATTTACTAAACCATTAAGTAGAAGTGTCCATGAAGAAAAATTATTAGCATTTTAAATAGATTAAATATATTTAATAACTTTCATTTAAATTGAAATTAAATCACTCCTTTCATCCAGCAAGAAAAAAAAGACATGAATCTGCCCTGCTTCTTTACACTCCTTCAAAAATACTTGATAAGATATTCAAATATTTTAATTTTTTTTACTACATTCCCATCTGCAAATAAACAATGCATGACGTTCTTCATCAAAATTAAGCATAGCCCATGTCTTAAGGGAATCTTGGGAAATTAAAATTCTGGAATCCAAAAAGATTCATCACGCACATTATGGATTTCAGAACAAAAGAATTCAGCTGGAGAAAGTCAATCTTTTTATTTATATGCCATAATTCCTTGGAGAAAATAAACTGCTATTACAACATTCTCCTGTTCATACGCTATGAGAAGCTGCCAAAAGTTTCTGGCACCAAGACGCTGTAGCTCTTACCTGTGAAATGAGTTCCTCTGGAATGACTGATGCTGGAATCACTGGTTGTGGCTGACTCCCCAGCAGTCCAGATCCTCTGTCACGTCCTGTGCGTATAACTCTGGTCTGCCTTCGGGAATCTCGAGCTCCAGCAGATGATCTACCAGAAGATCCTCCTCCACTTCCACCAACTCCTGAACTCCAGCGACTCATAGAAGATTTAGATTTTTTTTTTTTTTTAAATAGCAGCATACTTTGAGGATTATTTCAAGAAGTATGGCTTCAGTTTTATTATGAATATTCTGTAGACATCTCTTAAAGATACTGCACATTGACTTCATAGACAAATGCTATGAAAGGATCTCTCAAAACTAACTAGAACAGCACCAGGCAATTGATACAGCTCTGAACTACACAGGAGAAACAGGAAATATGACTCAGATTGAAGTTTGCACCTTTTCCTACTCCTATAGCTGTGTGGATGTATACATACATACCCGCACGCAAACACTCGCACACAATTCCTGCAGCTTCTAACAGCAACAGTAAAAGTAGCGTAACACCTAAAACTCAACCATAACCCTCCTGCTATAGAAGCACGTATAAGCAGCAGCTTCGTGAACAGTGAACTGTGTTTCACAGAAGGTCACAATATTCAGATGACTCTTCTCAAATTTTTTGAGATGTGATTTACATTAAGAAACCGCTTAAGATAGCCCTGGAAAAATTAAGTAACCTTGATTGCAAGATACATCTTGCACTAGATATTGCTCTGGCATACGTGGATGGTTTTTGAGAGATTGTACTACTGGATCTATTCCTCTTGGAGTAAACAGCATCGACTGCATACATCAAAAAAGAACATGTAAAATGACTGACCAGCTTTTTCTTTTCAGTGTGTCAATATCCAAAAAGGGAATATAAAGTAGTGCCTTCTAGAAACATACAACTCACCATTATTACAACTATCCACTAACTTCGAAAACCAGAGAACTGTTCCAAATGAATCTATTGTACAAACAAATCTAGATACTCTGTGGTCCTGAAAGGCCAAAAGAGACTCTAGTTTATTCCTCAAAATAAACTAAATTTTGTTGCAGAAACATACTGTAAAGAATACTGCATATGGCATTACTGCTATTCAATCATCAGTATCAGTAGAACTTTTTTGCTGTCAATCACCCTAAGCCTCAACTTCCTTTCATGAAAAATAAAAGATTAAAAATAAGATTTGGAGTCCGGTTAGTAAGGGCAGAGTATTTCCTCTGAAATAATATCCACTGAGATGCAAAAAAGTTCATTTTAAAGTATATCACCTGCAGATATTAAAGCTAATTAAGTAAATAACAATAAAGTCTTATGTTTTATGTTTTGATTACCAATTTTTCTTTTAGACAAGACCATAAAACTACAGAATAACGTCTAAGATAATGTCCTGCCTCAGAGAAATCTGCGTTTTCAGGATCCTAGCCACCAACTATACAGACAATGACCCAATATAAGACAATAACCAATTCAGTGACAACTTCAGCATAAGTGTTTTGTCTCATGAGTTAGAAATAGCTCACAAAAAAGATATTAGTGAAAATGATGGGGGGAGGGAAGTGTGTGACATTAAATTAAATAAAATGAGCAAGTTTGTTTCTAAAGGTGCATTCTTGCTATTGGAAAGGGGGAAACTAAGTTATTCCTACAGAGAAAAATTTTCAATTCAGCTCTCAGCAGGA